GGTCCCTCTGCTGCCATGGGGGGGGGGGTGAGCCCGGGGGGTGATGCCACGTCTCATCCCACCCTCCTCTTGCAGGGCCGGGCCGTGGGAAGGGGACGGAGGAGCGGCGCTGGGGGAGACGGCGCTGGAAGGACCCTCCGGTGCTCACACCCACCTGGAGAGGAGAGGGGGGTGTCCCCCCCCCGGAGCGCTCGGGGTCACAGCAGGGCCCCAGGAGCCGGCTCCTTCGTGCCACTAATGCTGGAGAGCTGGAGCCAGCTGGGAAAAAGCTCCCAAGAGTCGCTCACCAAGAGGCAACTCAGCCTCAGGGATGTTCCTGTGCTCCCCATGGGAATGGGGGGGTCAGCTCCCCCCCCAGGGTGCTCCCTGGCGCGGCCGGCATCAGGATGCGGTGGCCAGTGGCTCTGCTCTCCCAAAGGACCCCGTCGTCTGGGCTCAGCCGGGTTTTGGGCACTTGGTTGGGAAGGGGAGAGGAGCCTCCTGCGGCCACGAGCCCTTTCCAGGATCTCCACCCCATCCCTGCCCCAGCCGGGGGGGTCCCAGCGCTGGGTGGGATCCCGGGAGCCACAGCGATACCTTTAGGGAAGGAAAAGTGCAGGGGAGACCGGGCAGGAAAAATGTGAATTATGCTCTTGTCAAAACTCCTCCTGTTCCTCCCTCTCCATTTGGGGCAGATGCCCAGGTTTCCGTGCCTTTCAGGGATGGGGGGGTTTGTTTAGATGAAGCTGGGGGTGCTGCAGCGAGGATGGGCAGGGAGAGTGTTGTAGGGGGGGGGCAGTTTCACCCCGAGGCCCCCCCCGTGCTGCTCTGGGTCCGTGGGGCGGTGGGCTGTGGGGGAGGATCTGCTCTGGCTTTAAAACCCATCTGTGCTGGTGGTGCAGTGGGAGGGGGGGGCAGACTTTTGGGGATGATGTTGGTTGTAAATATGTCACGGCGACTGTAAAGGTTTTTTTGTCCTCTTTTGTGTCCCCCCTTCCCCGTGTGAAATAAACCTTCAAAACTCTGCGATGCCCCCGAATCTGTGCCGAGCAGGGGGATGCTTCTCCCACCTCCCCTTCCCTGGGGGGGCTGCCTGAGTCTCAGGGCTGCATGTCCCCCCCTCATTAGGGGACACAGTCCAACACCAGCCCAGGAGCTGCTTGTTAGCCCCCTGTGTTAATGAGTAACTTCCCAAACAGTAGGGAAGCCCCAGGCAGAGAATGAAAGGGGGGCTGCCCCTGGGAATGGAGGGGGGGCCATGTCTCTGCATGTCCCACCAATAGGGCTTGTGTCCTCATCTCTAATCAAGCTCAAATTGGCTCAGATGGGTGTCCACGTTTGTGGTTGGTCCTCCTGGGGGGTGTGCAGTGATGAGGGAGTGATGGGTGCATTGGTGCCACCTGCCCCCCCCTCCCGAAACACCTGAGCTGCATTCCCAAACTGCTCCTCCCTGGGCTCCCCCTTTTCTTCATCAGCAGCCGGGGGTGGGCACTGCCTGCTCTCCTGGTGCTGCTCTCCCTGGCTGGGTATGGGCTGTGGGGCAGGGAGTGGAGTGGGATGGGATGTGTCCTGTCCTGTCCTGTCCTGTCCTGTGGTCCCTGGGTCTGTTGCTTTGAGGGGGGCAGCTCCCTCTGACACCCCAGTCCCTGTGCTGGGCTTTGCTGCTGGGTTAAACACTGGTGCTGGCAAAGCCCTTGGTGGGTTTTGGAGGTCTCCAGATGCTCTCTCCATCCTTCCCTGAGGCTTTAGTCACTCCGGTGAGCCAGAAGTGCCCTGTACTGGGAGGGTGCTCTGGGGGTCCTGTGCTACCTTTGCTTATGGTGCTCCCCTGCTCCAGGGGGGCTGCTCATCCTGCTCTGAGACCTGGTTTTGCCTATAAAGGCATTTAAGCAGTTTTCCCTTTCCCCAGAGGTTTTACCCTTCCCTGAGAGATGCCACCCTCACCAAAGGGGTGCTGCTCCAGCTGCTCTCCTGGCTCTGGGCTTTTGGGACTGAAACCGTGTGTTCTCTGTGCTCCAAAGCCATGTTTCTTCCTTGTGCTTCTGCTCCAGAGCAGCCAAATGCTCTTTTCTCCTGTGTTTGTCTCTCAGGAGCTGGTTCCTGCTGGTGGCCTCGGACCTGCCCTGGAGGATGAGCAGCTCCTCTTCCTTCTCCAGGACGCTGTCAGAGGAGCAGCCCATTGCTGCCCTGTGGGGTACGGAGCTGATGGCAGGAGTGAGATAGGGGGGTGGTGGTGGCAACTGGGGTGGGTTTGCACAGGGTGTGAGTCCCCCTTTTGCCTTGGCTTTTGCTTGCCCAAGGCTTGGAGGGGGGGTGGCGGTGGAGCCCACGTGGGCATGGGTGATGGTGTGTCCTCCCAGGCTGCCAGCTGAGCGGGGACACCCGGAGCTGTGTGCTGAAGGAGGAGGATGACTTATTGGAGCACCTGGTCCTGCTGACAATGGTGAGACCCCAGCCTTGCCCCGGAGCCCCTCAGAGCCAGCCCGTGCCCCAGCAGTGACAGCCAAGGCTCCCTGCCTCGGGGTCCCTGTTTGGCTCCACAGATCTGCCTGGGGGCTGACGCCGGGGATGAGCTCCACGTGGTGGCTGTCGATTCCAAAAACATCTGTGGAGACCACAAGCCGGTGCCCATCGCGGCGCTGAGGACCTCGGTGCTCCCCATGGTAAGGGCAGCCCAGGGTGCAGAGTGCAGCCCCCCCGGCTGTGGGGTGATAATTCCCCCCGGGGCTGGGGCTGGGGGGGCTCTGAGCTCCCACTCTTTGCAGATCAGCCTCAAAGGTCTGGAGCTGGTCCCTCCTGTCACCTTCGTGCTCAAGTGCGGAGCTGGGCCGGTCTATCTCAGCGGGCAGCACATCACCCGTGAGTGTCAGCCTGGGGGCTGGGGGATGCTCTGGGGATGCTCCGTGGGTCCCACAGTGGCTTTAGTGGCAGCTGGTGCCCTCAACGAGGTTGCTTTGCCCAGGGGATGGAGGGATTGCTGGTCTGGGGGGGGCAATTTGTTTGCATTCATGGGCTCAACATAATGGTCCATGCTGGTTTTCCCCTCTGCCCCTGCTGCCGTGGGGTGGGATGGTGTCTGTCCCCACTCCCAGTGTGGGGCTGTGGGTGCAGCTGGGGGGGTTTCACCTCCCCTTGGTGGGTCAGGGCCCCCCCTCCTGCTGCAGCCCTGCGTCTCCTCTCCCCAGTGGAAGATGATGCCGAGTCCGAAGCCCACGAGGAAGAGCTCTCGGAGGAAGATGTAGGCGATGAGGAGGATGATGGAGCACCGTAGAGTAGCTGCAGTTGGGAGCAGGCTCTGGGAGCGGAGCTGGTGTGGTGGGGATGGTGGGGATGCCCCGTGCCAGGAGCTGCAAGTGCCTCCTGCCAAATGGGATGGATCTTTGCAGGGGGGCACAAACTGTCTGGGCTTTGGGTGCCACCCCTTGTCTGCCCTGCCTGCTCCCTCCGTTCCTGCCGTGCTCCTAAAGGTGCTCTTCTTCCCTCTTTTATTGCAATAACAACGGGAAAGTGCAAATACCCTGGATTCAGTCTGGACTGTGCTCTGTCCTGCCATCCCATCCCTCCCTGCCTGCTGCCTCCTCTTGGGAAAACGAATTCCCTGTGTGTACTAGCCGTGCTGCTGTGGGTCACGCTGCTAATCCATGGGTCTGGGGGGGCAGAGGTCCCAGCGAGCAGCCCCTGTTCCCCTGCCTGCTCCCAGGACAGGGGCTCTCCCAGCCCCAGCGTGTCCAGAGGAGGGAGGTTCCTTCGTGCTCTGGCTGGGGGTTTGTATCTCCACAGAAGCTCAGTCACCTCTTCATGGGGAGGAGATGATGCTCTGGGGCTGAGACACTCGTTTTCCCCCCACACAGCCCTGGCACCCGTTATCCTCTGTCCTCCCTTCCAATGCTCCTTCAGTCCTGGTATCGCTCCAACTGTCACCTGCTCGGATCAGCAGGACAAAGTTGTGTTGCTGTCTTCGTGGCAGCCCAGAAAATGCACCCAAAAGCTGCCCAGAACAAGCAGCCGCTGAAATGATATAATTAAAACCCCTAATTGAGAAAATTGCCCAAATCCATTATATGTGTGATATTGGCCGGCAGCGAGGTGGACTTTACAGGGGAGCCCTGAGCCTGGTGGGGGGTGGGCTGGGGAGGGAGCACATGGGTTTCTCTTTATTTTCCCCACTTGTAACACACAAAGCCGCAGAGATGAGCTGATGGACGCTCAGGGAGGGGGGGATGTTGCTGTCATCGAGCTGGGGAGAGGCTGGAGATGGGCTTGGGTGGAACCAGCCGCCAGCCCTGATGGGCTGCCACCCGGCCACACGTCACCCCTCGGCGTGGGCTGTGCCTGGCCCTGGGGACACAAGGGGACAGGATCGCGGGGCCATCACACGCAGCCTTCACCCCAGGAGAGGATTTCTCAGGCATCGCCTCCCGCAAGGCAAGTGTATGCCCTGAGCCCCCTCCCCACACGTGTGGGTCTGAGATGTGCCCTGGGGTGGGAGCCCTAATCTCTGGGGGCAAAAGAAGGGGGGGAGAGAAAAAAATATAATGAGCAATTAACTCATCTGGCTTTGGCTTTTCCCTGCCCTCGGCTCACTCCCAGCACACAGGATCCTGTGCTCCTTCTGCAGAGAGACCAGAGCCTCAATAACTGTGTTTCTCACCAAAACGGGTGATTCTGGTTTATTTTCCCCACCGGGATCAGCCCTGGGACCTGGTGCTGCTCAGTGGGACAGCGCGTTGCTGGGGGGTGAGGGCTCTCCCTTGCACCCTGCTGCCAGGGCTGATGGGGTTGAAGATGCCTTGGGGGGGGGCAGAGCCCCCCACTGCCCATCCTGGGGGTGCTGGGTGCAGGTGGGGGTGCTGGCTGTGGAGGAGCAGGAGTAAAGGCTGGTGAATTCCATTCCTCCTAATTCCTCAGGTGGGAAGGGGTCGCTGGGTGCTGCCGCTCGGCGTGAGCCCCCCGGGCATGAAGACATCTCTCTGGGCACAGACTGAGCCCTGCAGAGAAATCTGGGAAGGAAAGAAAGACAAAGAGGATTAAGGTCGGTGCCGGTGCATTCGCACAGTGGCCTCTTTGGCTCCCTGGGCTTGTCAGGGCAGAGCCCAGCAGCCAAGTGAGCAAGTGGCCACCGTGGTGCCCGCACCTCCCTGAGGAGCAAGTCCCCGGTGGGTGCACGGGGACAGAGATGGCACCCCACGTTGGCTACAAGCCCCTGGCTGGAGCCTGCTCTGCAGGACAGTGTGCCCAGCTCTGGCTGCAGAGGGAGACATGGAAAGCCATGGCAGAGCTGAGGTAGCCATGGCAGAGCTGAGGTAGCCACGGCTGGAGCCAGGGTGGCCCCAACAATGGGAATAGGGGGGGTGTTTTGGGGGAGTCCCTGTCCCCCCTTCCCACAGCCCCTGGCAGCGGTGCCCTCGCCCCATCCTGCATCCTGCCCAGCAGCATCTCTTGGAGGGCTTTGGCATAACCATGGCAACTGCCAGGTAATTAACAGCCCGGTCTCAACGTCATGGAGACAAAAGGCACAAACAGAGCCTGCCGGGCGCCTGCCCAGCCGGGCACCGGGGGCACCGGTGTGGGATGGGGGCACCGGGGGCACCGGCGTGGGATGGGGGCACCGGGCACACGGCGTGGGGGTGGTGCTGTGGCCACCCAGCCAGCACCAAAATGGGCTCTGTCCCCCCCATGGCAGGGATGTCCCCTCGCTGTGAGGGTGGCACGTGGCAGCCAGGACATGGTAGCAGGATGGGTGCCAGCCTGTGACATAAAAGCTTCCTTGCAGCACCAAAATGGGCTCTGTCCCCCCCATGGCAGGGATGTCCCCTCGCTGCGAGGGTGGCACGTGGCAGGAGGATGGGTGCCAGCCTGTGACATAAAAACTTCCTTTGGGAACAGCTGAGAAGAGTTTTGGCAAAGAAGGGGGATGCGGGAATGATATTTTAATGCAGAAGATGCTCCCATTTTAGGCTAAAACCCCACATTTTAGCCCCCTTTAGGATATAAGCTGCTTCAGAGATTTATTTTTTTCAGGCTCACTCATGCCCTGGGAGTCTGTGGGCTTCTCACGGGATGATGAGGACCAGGGTCCTGGGCTCAGCAGCGGGACAGTCACAGCCCCCAGTACCCCTACTTGGCTGGGATGGCAGCTGTTTTGGGGTGGCTTTGCTGGGTACCTGCTGCTGTGCAGCTCCAGCTGTGTGCATGTCCTCCAGATGTTCCCACTCCCACCCCCAGAGCCCAGGGGAGCTGCAGAGACACCCCCAGAGTTGGGGCTCACCCCGGGCTTTGAGGGTGCTGAGATATTTGTGCCGGTCCCGTGCCTCTACCGGGCACCATGGCAGCCTCTCCTGCCTTTTTGCATGAGAACCCAATTAACAAATGCTGCAACACCCATTTATTTTTATGCGTAAGTGGCCAATTATTGGACGTGTGAGCGCCCCATCGGTTCACCCGTGAGTACCCAATTAATTGCACTATTTATAGTGCAAACCTGAGCACCCAGTGAGTGCAGGAGCGAGCACCCCCTCACTGGTGTGGGTGGCTCATGTGGGTGCCCCCCTGAACCCCCATAATTTCAGGACCCTGATGCTGGGCAGAAAGGGCAGGATGAGGTTGCGGGAGGCATTTCCCCAAATACCTTGTAATTATTTAATTTTTCTGCTGTCTCAGTACCCACACCGAGGTCCCAACTGGTCTCAGCACACCCCGGTGGCTGGTGAGAGGGGCTCGGGGGGGGTCTGCTCCCCTTGGCACCCCCAGGGCAGCCCCCCGAGCTGCCCAGCCCGCAGGAAGGCGGGTGCCTTGGAGCACCGCTGGGCGGCACAACTTAATTCCCTGCTGCCAGCTCTTCCTTTGGAAAAGTGGCCCTTGGTCTGGGGACGTGTTGGGGGCTGAGGACATGTTTCAGGAGGAGGCTTCTACACAAAAGGTAATTTATTTACTGGGGACAGGGGGATTTTTACCTGCTGGCAATTTCCCTCTCTGAGCAGAACAAAGAGCAGCGCAGGGCTGGCTGGGGGTGGGGGGGCGATTGCAGGGCTTTGGATCCAACGGCAAATTTTTTTATTTGGGAGACTTTACTCTGAAATGCCTTTTCTGCCTCTGAGAGAGTCCTTTGAGGTGGGGGGCAGCAGGCAGGGTGCGTGGAAGTTGATCCAGAACCCCAGTCAATTACAACTCAGACTGTGGGGCTTTTGGAGGGGGGGGGTGCTGCTGAGACGTATTGCAAAACTGGGGGCTGCTCTCCCTTGGGTTCCCCTGGGGGCTTCCAAAATCTGCCGGGTGGGCTTCGGTCTTAGTTAATCAGTGGGGGCTTAAGGGTGAAATAACAGCTGGGAGAGAGAGAAATAAACAGGGAGGCAAGTCCTGTGCTGGGAAAGAGCAGGAGATAACATATAGAAATAGCCCAAGAACTTAAAGTTGGGCTGCGGTGGGAGGGAGGTGACTCAATGGGCAGGGGGTGGCAGGGACACGGGAGCAGCCCGGGCTGGGGGCCCTGGGGGTCCGGGAGTGAGCACAGTGTGGGGCACAGGCTTCCCGGGTGGGCAGGGACCTGTTGGCCAGGACTGATGGAATCTCTGCCCCTGAATTTCCTCCTTATCCCCATCCCATTCCCCTCGCAGGTGATTATGTGGAACCTGGGGGTGCTTTTGGCAGGAAAAACCTCGGCTGAGCCCCCCCTGAACGGGAGCAGCGACAGAGCCCAGGCTGCGGCCAGACCCAGCGTTTGAGGAGAGCCTGGTTAATCTCGTTAGGGGGATGGATGAGCTGGGTGCAGGCACACGAGGATGTGAGGCTGCAAAAAAGTAGCAGAGCATCTTTATTCGTTTATCCATTAACGTCCTTTGTTATTCCCAGCAACATTAGGAGCTATTTTCTGGCTCGGCTGCCTCTTCCCTCTCCCTTCTGCCAGCAGCCGCCGGCGGGGCTGGGGCAGAGGCAGGATTTGCTGCAAACGCTTCGTCTAAAGGGGTGTTGATGAGACCGGGTCTGGGTAAGTGCTTCCCCTGAGCCCCCCGGCAGCCCTGCTGCTCTTCTTCTCCTTCTCCTCCTCCTCTTCCCCCCCCTCCAGCCCATCACTGCTGCCCAGCCCGGGGCTGTCTCTCCCCCCCCCGATGCAGGGCTGCTCACCGGCATCACCCCTTTTCCGAGCCTGATTTTTCCATTTTCCTCCCTAGAAGCCCACAGGACAAACCTGTCGTCCTGTGGAGCCTCCCCAGGTGTGGGGCAGGGGTCCCACAGAGCCTCTCTGGGTGTGGGGCAGGGTCCTGTGCGACAGCCGGGGGGGGACAGCAGCAGCAAAACTGTGACGAGGAGCAGGATGTGCCCCATGGACACCTGAAACCTTTGACCAACAGATTTTTGGGGTGCTGAGGCTGGTCAAGACAGAGGTTTTCTTGCCTCCCTGCTCCTGGCAGGTGGAGGGGCTCAGCCTCAGGCATGGAGGGGGACAGGGACATGACCAACGCCACCATCTATGAGCTGGCCCTGCAGAACGGCTCCAACGCCAGCGCCCAGTTCACCGGGGTGCAGCTCATCCAGTCCTTCAAGCTCCTCATCATCCCCTGCTACGCCCTGGTCGTCCTCGTCGGCATCTTCGGCAACTACCTGCTCCTCTATGTCATCTGCAAGACCAAGAAGATGCACAACGTCACCAACTTCTTCATCGGGAACCTGGCTTTCTCCGACATGCTGATGTGTGCCACGTGCGTGCCCTTCACCCTGGCCTACGCCTTCAACCCCCAGGGCTGGGTTTTTGGGAAGTTTTTGTGCTACTTCGTCTTCCTGATGCAGCCCATGACCGTCTACGTCTCCGTCTTCACCCTAACGGCCATCGCGGTTGACAGGTAAGTGTGGATGGGGAGGGGGTCCGGGTCTGTCCCCCCCTTCCCAGTCCCCTTAAGCTGCTGTTTGCTCAGCTCAGGGGTTTTGGGTGCCAAACACTCAAAATTGGAAAAGGAGATACCCAGGGGATCTTTGCAGTCTCTGCAGCCTGTTCTTTAGCATCGGGGCTCAGTCCCGGGGGGGAAGAAGCGGGATGGGGCTGGTGGGGCTGCTGCTGGGCATCGAGAGGTGGTGTTGGGTAGTTTCATCCTTGTCTGCATGAAGCCATCTCCACCAAATCCCAGTTCTCCCCCGACCAGCTCTGTGCCCCCCCCAGCCAGCTCTGTGCCCCCCCGACCAGCACAGCGCTCGCACGAGGGCTGCTGGAGTTTACACCCCGTTCTCCAGCCTTTGTTGGATAAATTTCCAGCCAAATCACACTGTGTTCTGGCCCCTGGGTGGAGAGCACTTGTGCCTCCCTGAGTGCGCCCGGGGCAGGGGATGAGGAGGGGGTTGTTTATAAAAAAATCCCCGCGTGTTTCCATAGAGATCTCCTCACATAAAGGATGCTGCTGACCCATAAAGGATGGGGGTGATGCTGGTGGGTTCTGGCTGCAGGGGGGGGATGCTCTGTGCCCGGCCCCGCTCCCCCAAAACAGCAGAAGTGACCCTGTGCTTCCATGGCAGGGCGAGGGGACATGGTTGTCCCCCCCATCTCCAGCCACCCCTTTCCCAGCAGGAGCTCCCTCATGCCTTCCTGCCTTCATTAGGTGCCCGGGAAGCACCAGGGGGGTCTCCGGGGGGTTCCTGGGATGCTTCAGGGCTCAGTGCCCCCCGTTTCTCTCCCCGCAGGTACTACGCCACCGTGCACCCCCTGAAGAAGCGCATCTCGGTCACCAGCTGCGTCTACGTGGTGGGGGGCATCTGGCTGCTCTCCTGTGGGCTGGTGGCCCCCGCCGTCGCCCACACCTACCACGTGGAGTTCCGGCAGGAGGGCTTCGCCATCTGCGAGGAGTTCTGGATGGAGAAGGAGACGCAGCGCCTGGCCTACGCCTACGGCACCCTCATCGTCACCTACATCCTGCCCCTCTCTGCCCTCTCCCTCTCCTACATCTGCATCTCGGTGAAGCTGAGGAACCGGGTGGTGCCCGGCCACCCCACCCAGAGCCAAGCCGAGTTCGACCGCCTGAGGAAGAGGAAGATCTTCCGCCTCATCGTGCTGGTGGTGGCGGCGTTCGGGGTCTGCTGGCTGCCCATCCACGTCTTCAACATCATCCGGGACATCGACATCAACCTCATCAACAAGCACTACTTCCTCCTCATCCAGCTGCTCTGCCACTGGTTCGCCATGAGCTCCTCCTGCTGCAACCCCTTCCTCTACGCCTGGCTCCACGACCGCTTCCGCGGGGAGCTCCGCAAGATGTTCTCCTGCAAGAGGAGGATCATCCCCACCAAGACCTGTGGGGCTACCGGTGGCGTGCTCTGAGGCCAGCGTCCCCTTCTCTGGACCTCCATGGCCGTGCTCTGAGGCCAGCATCCCCTTCTCTGGACCTCCATGGCCGTGCTCTGAGGCCAGCATCCCCTTCTCTGGACCTCCATGGCCGTGCTCTGAGGCCAGCATCCCCTTCTCTGGACCTCCATGGCCGTGCTCTGAGGCCAGCATCCCCTTCTCTGGACCTCCATGGCCGTGCTCTGAGGACAGTGTCCCCTTCTTGGACCCTCCATGGCCGTGCTCTGAGGACACTGTCCCCCTCCCCGGACCCTCCATGGCCATGCTCTGAACCCCATGTCCCCCACCCCGACCCTGCGCTTCATCCCCCTCAAGTCAGAGCTCTCCAAGGGGTTGGGGATGCTCATCCAGCCCATGGGACCAGAGGAAAGCAGGATCCCCCTCCCCACCCAGGGGTTCTCAGCCCTGCCCTTCATTGGGGAGCTTGGGGCTGCTCCCCGTGTCCCCCCAGCTCCCTCCCCCTCCAGGACAGCAGCTGGCAGGAGTGAAAATGCATTTGCTGCAGCTTTTTCCTTGCAAAGTCACCCCAACTGCCCACCCACAGCCCCCACAAAACCCCTTCCTCCCGCGGGGGTCCTGGAGGTGAACCTGCCCCACGGGGAGCAGGGGTGGGATGGGGTGGGACGGGGGAGCAGAGCTCCTGGGGGACACCTTGCCCAGCCCCACGGGGGGGTCGGCAGGTCCCGCGCTTCGGGAATTCATGATGTCATTTAATTCTAAATTAATGGAGGGAAGGGGGTGGCGTGGGCATGAGGAAGCGGGTGAAAAGGGTTTTGTGGGAGTGAGGGCTGCGGCCGCGTCATTAAATGAACCCGGGGCTCTGATTGCGGCGGGTGATGGAAATGGCATCTTTCCTGCCAGATTGTTTTTGGGAAGTGCTGGTACTTTTCTGGCAGCCCCACAGCCGGCGGGGGACGGAGCCAACAGCAGGACAGGTCAGCGGCTCGGCCCTGCACCCCCAGACTGCCCCCCCCC